CAGGGGATGTGGACCACAACTGGTCTGACAGATCATGCTGTGTCCCACTGAACACGACTCAGCACCAAATGAGAGTTCGAAAGAAACCAGCGTGTGGCACTTGTAGCTGTGTGCTTTTCTGGGCATCTGTTGTGGGGCAGGAAGAAGAGTGAGGCACAAATGTTTGGAGAGAAAAGGCTATATATATACAAATGCTGACAGAACAATTTCAATTTCTAAGACTCCTATTATTTTCATTTTAAGATTTCAGGGATGGAAGGGTGGTGTGTCTTAACTTATGTTTACACTTTACTATCTGAAAAATTAAATATTTTTTTTTTAAGATCAAATATTTAGGGCTCATTTGAAATGAAAGTTACAACTTAAAATTGCTGTGAATATTTGGGTGACTGTACTTGCACTTCTTCAGTATTACTTGTGAGTGAATTATCATGATTTTTCACACTAAAGTGCCCAGAGTTGAATGGCGGATTCCTGCGTGCATAGTTTGTTGCTACAGACTCAATGACAGAGTCAGTGCTCATTCATTTCAAAAAGCAGGTGAAACTCAGGAAAGAGGATTTTCAGGCTCAGAGATATTTTATGAAAGACCTACAGCAATTAACATGACTAACAACAAACAAAACCCAAAATCATTCCATAGCTCTGTACAGCACGAACTCATTTGCCTTCTGTAATAGAATACTATCCACAGACCTCCTAGGATTAGCTCTGGGTATGATAAAATCTTTGGGCTTTGGGAATTTTTTTTACAGAAAATCTGCAATGAACAAAATGTGTTCAAGCTCCAGTCCCTCTGGCTATCATTATAAAGTAGGAGGAAAAACAGCTTTTACAATATAAAACAAGGAAAATGCTCCACCTAAGTTGCCAACAGTGACTCATAATTCTTTCTGTCCTGTCCACATGGCACAACTGCCATGTCACCACACAGTTTTCAAGCTACCCTAGTGAGGCAACACAATAATAAATAAATTAAAAGGATTTTTTGCTAAATTGAGTTCTGTATCTTACTGAGTACTGTTCAGCACTTCCAGTCTAATGACAATAGCATGTTCATTCACTCAATGTTACTAGTTTAACCCGTTTGACTGAGCTTGTTGAACCACCTTGAAATTAATTCCTTTTATTTATGTATCCTAAGAGACTGAAGGTGAAATTCTGAGCCCTGAAAGAGTTTTAAATCCCATGCTTCGTAATTTTGGACATTTGGAAATGAAGCTATGGACTAATTTCTAATCTACAAAGGATATGAACGTTGTATTGCCACACACCATAAGAAATACTAGACAATTATTTTGAAGACTTCTTTGGGGGTTTTTTTGGTTTTGTTTTGTGAGGTTTTTTTAATAATCTTTAAACGTGCTTACAGCTACACTAATCATATTTCTAAATAATAACTGTTATTGACAGATATTGCTACAGGACATAACTAAAAATTAAGCAGAGGAGAAAACCTTCTCCTACTGAAAATGATGAGTTAGTTAGCGAAAGTTTCACACCAATTTTCTTCAACTTTCCTGTGCATTTCTATTCCAACAGGTCATAAGTTAATTAATAACTTTTGCCACCCCTTTACAAATACATGCATCTTTTACATTTTATTGCTCTTTCAGTGGTTACACACACCTTTCTGTGTCTTGGAACGCAAGAACAAACCCACTAAAATATGCTTTATCATCTCGCAAAAAGGGGGAAAGGCAGTATGTCAACAAGAAAAATCCCTATTTTATCAACAAATTAAAACTAAAAACTTTATGGGAAGCCATACAAAAAATCTGACTCAAAATTGAACAAAAGCAGCCCCAGTGCAAAACTACCAAGAAACAATGCCTAAGTAAGCGTGTCAGTTCTGCATGTAATTTCTCAGACATTATTTTCACCTTGCCGCAGGGGCAAAGACAATCAGCAGAAGGCACCAAAGCACTTTAAACTCAACATTTTTGCAGCTTTTTAACCCAAAATTCAGTCACCAGTAGCACTTGGCACTGCATTATGGTCTACATAGGTCAGATCATAGGATCAGGGACATCTTTTGGGACATTTGAAACACGGAAGCTCATAAAAGAAGTGATCAAAAGACTGTTTGTATTGGGAGCCGCTGTCAGTGCCTTGGTCTGATCCAAGCTTCAGCTGAAGTTAGCAACTCATTGCATCATGTCAAGTATTGAAATTAGTCACAAATTTCAGTCTTGTTTTCATCTCTGCCTTGTGCTATTTGTTGGTACAGGAACGTATTCATAACACAGAAAAAGAAAATAGAAGTAGTAAATGAAAACAGCTTGTTGATAAGCAGAAATAAGTAACGTGGTCCATGGAGTGCTCTTCATTTTGAAGGATAACTGCACAACTTCCTTCTCTTCCTACATCTACCAAATCACCAAGCTCCTTGCACTCATGTCTTTTGAGGAATTCAAGGTGAATGAAAACTGCAATCCAGAAACCAAAGTGCTTTTAAAGAAAGTGTTCTTAATTTATTTTTTTGAGTAATGATAAGCATTTTGTATCTGCCCCGAGTTTGTCTACAGAATTTAGAATTCTGTAGACGTGCGGGAGTGCAGAGAAAAGGTGCAGAAATGCAAACATTTGATATCAGAAAGGTCGCAAGATTTCAGTAAGATAAAGAAAAAATACACTATTTGGTACCCTTGCAAACTGTTCAAACAGATAATTAGATTAATTTTTGTCAGAATCATTAAATATTTTCTACGTATTGCATTACAGGTTAAAACATATCTGCATAAACTACACAGTGGGTATGAAAGGATGAAATTTGGTTTCACTTGTTAATATTCTTTGATGGTTCAAATAGCTTTAATTTTTTAACATTTATGACTGTTTTACACCTGAGGATATGATATTCTCTAGGGCATGAGCAAATTTATTTTGATAGATTAAATGCTCAAACTTTCTTCAAAGAAAAACTTGGGAAAAAATTCTGATTAGGTTGGAAGTATAAAACTCAGATTTTGTGACTGCAAGAAAAATACCTTTAGAAATAGATACTATCAAGATATTTTCTCATCTGTTAGAATTAAGATTGATTTTTCCTGTAGCAGTATGTCTGTGCTGAAAATTAAAAATGCATTACAGAACTGATTATGATGTATTTTATATATCCTCCTCTTCTCCCACTCACAAATAACTGGCATAGAATTAATCAATTAAACTCAGAGAGGTAAATAAACTAATTCAACATTTACTACATCCTGGGGAGAGGGCATGCATTCCCAGCAACTTTTTCAGAGCCTGCAGAACTCAGTATATTACAAAAAAAGGCTCTATTTATTGTCCAGCCTATTTTAGTGAAAGTTATAGCACAGTCTACTGTCAGTGGAGGACTGATTCCACAGATATGGAAAACCAGTCCATCAAAAAAAAAAAAAAAAAAAAAGTCAATTTTGTAGGAGTTCCTGGGTTTTTTTTCTTCCTTTCTTTCACCGCACAGTAGACTTTTCAATCTGACAGACAAGTAAAACTTTATAGTGGTAACACATGACTTTTCCTGAAAAGTGCTATTAATATAGAATTCAAACAATACTCTTGATAGCATAAGTTCCCAGATAAGAAACTCTGCAGATACATACTGTTAGCTCAATATAAGCAATACACGCTATTTGATCAATATCAATACTCCAGCCTGGGAGAGAGAGGGGCCAAAGGTATCTCAGCTGACGGTGACAGACAAACATGCACAGCCACCACTCCCAAGTCCCTCAGAAAGCTGAACTTGCTTCTGCTGAAACTGATGGCAAAACTCCTTTGAGCATCACTACAAGGTGGGTAGAGCCCTTGGGGAAGAATTCCCTATATTATCACATATGTATTCAAAACCACTGTGATGCGTGGCACAGCACCGTCTATAAAGCCTGTTGTTTTGCCTGTTCTCAGAAGCCAAAGACAGTGTCTTAAGTCTGCTGAACCTCCAGGTGACAGGACTGTGAGGCAGGTGCTTACTTCAACCATCTACCATTTGCTGTTTCATACCATGTTATTTAAGGGCAAGCTTTTCAGCAGTCTGAGCAGGCCTTCCCTGCTGTGTTCGAGTGTATGTTGTTTCAGTGCTGGACCAGTATTAACTCCAGTTCGGATGCTGAGGGTTGGAATTTTGGAGGGGTCGTGTCTCCCCCTCCCCGCTCCCTCTCCATTTTGGCTTAGGACTGTGTGCTTTCACAAGTATTAACACTTTCAGCTTTGCAGTATTAACTTTCAGGTAACACAGAAAGCTTTATATCAGTTCATATAGTCAAAACCTATTCCAGAAAAGGTCTCTAAGTGAACAAGTAACTATTAGTAATAAGCAAATTATCTGCTCAGATACTGAGCTCTGGGTAATATTGGATTTTACATTACAATGACGGTGCTCTAAATCTAACGTGCTTTTTCTCTGTTAGAGTCAGCTTTCATTGTCAAATCCTGTTTTTCTTTTTTTGGTCTGTGCTGCAGCTTTAACAGCCAATGTGTAAAGTTTGTGGTACATGAAGAGCACAACGTGGTGTTATTTCAGCCCTCAGAGAAGGATCCTCCCCAAAAGCCAATGACTGCACTGAACAAGCCTGCCAAACGCCCGTCTCTCCTCCCTCTTACATACCAAACACCTTTTAAACAGCTTTTTGTCTGGGGCAATTGTCAGATATCTCATAATATTGTTCCCCACGAACCTGTTACCTATCCGCCACTCGACATTACGCAGACCCGGCCAGGTTTCTGGCTGCAGAGCATACATCGGACGCACTTTGAATACTGCTGAACCCCATCTGTTCCTCACGGCAGCGAGCACGGCAATATCCCTGCTCCTCAGGAGCGACAGCAGAGAAGTCGTCTATTGTGGTTTAATTAGCAGTAACCCCAGCCTGGGGGAAGTGTGAGATTCCACTTTGCTACCTACACCACCGCTCCGAGGTGGGAAGGAAGGATATCAAGCCCCCAGCTTCGCCCAGCACTGCAGCACGGGGAGAGCCGCCCCCCCGCCGCCCCGGCACAGCACCAAGTCAACTCACAGGATCTCCAGGTCGCGCAGGGCTCGGAAGGCTCCATCTTCGATGCAGCTGATCTGGTTGTTGTCCAGTTGCCTGCAGAAAGGAAGGGAGAGGATGAAGGCTGGCTGGTACGGGCAGAACTGCCTCGGAGCGCCAGGTTGGGGGCTTCCCCGTCACCGAGGTGTCCCTCCACCCCCTCGCAGCGCCTGCTCGCCACCCGGCGCAGGGCTGCTCGGCTGCCACGCTGCTCTGGCTCTGCTCGCTGCTGTCTGACAGCGCTGCACGCTACCGCACACTGAAGCCTGTCAGGTCTCAGTAAATATTAATTGCGCCTTTTTTTTTTTTTTTTTTAAAGGCAGAAGGGAGTAATTTCATTACATTAGGGCATCCAATCCATTATGAGCTTTTACCGTCATGTCACTGAAACAATTTCATTAAGCTAAAGGCCTGTAAATCATTGGAGGTCACTGTGCTGCCCTCCGTGACCTCCCAGAATGCCTTTTTTCTTTTACTGGAAGTTGGAGTCCTCTGTCCTGACAGTACTAAATCTCCAGGCTTTATCTGCCCAAGAGCTGTGAGAGTGCATAGGGAATATACCAATTCCAAATTAGACTCAACTAATCTAATTTTATAGTCTTTTTATTATTCTAAGCACCAAATGTCTGTGGTGGTTCGATGCCTCTCTGCATTGTTACTGGCCCCATCTGGTAGCCCATTCTATTGAAAGATTTCTGACTAAATACAGATTCTGTCTAACTGCATCAGGGAGAGCAATCCAGTGACAGAAAGCATTATACACACATACACTTAAAACACTATTTTGCTTCAAAATGCGTAATTTAATATTTGGACGGTGGAGTTCTCTCATTTGTCTCCCTGCATACGTATGATTTAAATATATTTTACAATATATGTGTGGATATAGCAGTACAGCTACATCTGTCCCTTTTCCTTAGAAAATTAAAGTTGTAAGTTGTAATTTAAAATTCAGTGATTACATTTTCTGACACCTGATCCCTTAAATAAAATTATGTACCTGCCCACGTGTAAGTACAATATCTGCATTTTGTAAAAAAATAGATGCAGGCTCCCGACTATATCATACTGTCCTTTGCCCACCATAAACTTTAGATTTGGTGAGGCAGGGACCATTTGTTCTGTGTGTGTAAATTATCATGAACAAATATACCAAGATTGCATTGCAGTTTCTGGTTGCTATTAAAAAATAATAAATATATATGCAGAGATAGCAAATATATTACAATATATATATGTATAATATATTTGTATAGTTTTACCAACTTCAACTATTTGCTGTACTTAATATTTGGTCTAAATAGACATTTTTCATAGCTTTCTTATTATACAACAATAAAGTACAGACAGAGCAAATAAAACCTTTATGCACCCCTTTAAATACTGAGTTTGATCTACTAATATTGACCATCTTGAATATGTGTATATTTGAAGACTATGGGAAACTTAACCCTTGTAATGCAGCCTGGTCTTGATGAACATCATGTTTTTTAGGATTTACAGTGCATGAAAAACCAGGCACGCTATAAGGTCTACTAAAAAACTTAGCAAGCGTAAAGCCCAGCTAAGGTTTCTCATAGCTCTTGTACTTTTGGAGAATATGCTGAATCTGGCAAAACTTCAGCGATGTCTCCCATACTGACAGATACCAGGATGTGCAATCATCCAAAATGGATTTTTCTGTACCATAAGAGTTGATGCATAGTATATATACATATGTATATAAGTATATACATACATATTTATTTATGTTCTCTCCGTTACTCCCACCACCTAGCAAAGTTGCTAAAAACTATACATTTTTGACTGCTGGGAGGACCCGCGGCTGCTGAGTGGCTTTTCCCAAGATCCCTGTTTAATTGTGTGGGTTGTTAAAAATTTGTTGCTCAAACAGAAAGGACGGTGCATTTCAGGAAGAATGAACTTAAAATGAGTTAAATATAATGCTGGTTGCATGACTAAGTACTTTACACTTCAGTTGGCTTTATTAAGCGTAAAGTTGGCACATGCTAGCACGATGAAGAGAAATCAGGCGCAACTTGAGAATCACATCTCTTCTTCTACGGGAAGTACTATATATTGCCTATTTTTATTTGAGTTATACTATAATATTGATTTTTCTGCCAAAAACACTAAAATAAGCAAATAAACCCAGTATGCTAGTCACAGAGTCTTCTGATTAAAGGGCTTCATATGCGGTGTGTTGGGTTTTTTAAAAAATACTACTCTCATAGATTGGTTTTTGTTGAAAAAGCATAATGACAATCTTAATCATATTTCTATAGGTCCACTCACGCTAATGCTAACAACCAAGTTTAGTCTGTGTGATTCATCCACAGGACAACAGCAAGGGAAACCTCTAGATGCCCAGAAGACACACACTTAGCAGGATAGTCAGTAAATGGGGAAAATATTCATTAGAGATACACCCTGATTCTGTGTGCCCCATAAACTAAATCTGCAGAGTCTCTGGGTGACATCCACATGTTTAATGTTTCTTTGTAACAGAGCTTATGTTTCCTGATATCTGTCAGACCAAAACATTCACATCGGTGTTTAAGCATAAGAGTTTCTTCTGAAAAGAACTATTAGTTGTCTTAAAATTAGGCATGACTGGTTTTGAGACCCTCCGCCTCCCCGTTTATTTCTCCATGGGTAAAGATGGAAATTCTATTTCTTTGCTTCTGTACAGCACCTTGGTGAGTGGTTAAGCAGAGACTAGAGATTTGAGAGTTTAAAGTCTAAACGATGCCGTCCTTCCAAGACAATGTGTTACTTTATAAAGTTTTGAGAAAACTTCAGGTAAAGCCTTAGAGAAAGGCAAAGACAGGTGTTCAACACATACTTTTATACCCGTGAAGACAAAACAAAAATCCTGTGATGTGGGCTAGCAGCCAGATCACATACTCAAAGTGGGTAAGCTGTACATGCAACATTTGTTGAGAAGAATGTCTTACCTGAATAAAAAGCATCATATGCAGACAAAGTAAAAAATCAACTTTAAAAAAAATTTAGCAAAATCAGTAGTTCAGAATAGGTGGCACAAGTATTTCCTTGAGGAACATGCGACACTGCTCCCACTTCTTCATCGCTGCCTTCTGACTGGAGCACTCACACACACACACCCCCAGAGCACTGCTACCTGAGACACAGATCAGCTGCTCCAGGCTTACAGGTAAATTTAAAAAATGGTCTCAGTCAGCAGAAGCATTTATTCAGATTTAAATGCCATCTCTATTTGTCAGTGTTCATACCCTTTCCAGAAGATCTTTTTCTCCTCAATATTACAAACAGGATGTTATGCATGTAACAGTGTAATGTATGGTGAAAAAAGGTCAGACAACACAAACTCACATTTAAGACACCATTCTAAAATGGACAAAGTCACTTTTTATACCTCCATTCCTGCCTTTTGAAAGAATACAGCACTAAGCTCAGACTTTATCTAAAACTACCAAGTGATTCAACTGCCTCTGAAGAAAATAAGTGTTCTCACGCAGAAAAAGTGAGCCTCTATATTAAGAGGCTAAAGGATGACTGAAACCGCAATAACCAAGCTGTGTGAAATAGCCATACGATACGTATGGCACATGATAAGAGCTACAAGCCAAGGCACAAACAAATAAACACTGCCAAACTTTGAACTTCCAAGTTTTTGCTAAGTTAGATAGACATCTAACTTTTATTTGGGTGAAAGTGTTTGGGTTAAATGCCTAATCTCTCATGCATTAGACACAAAGCACTGGACTTGGGCTCGGTGATGTTGTCAGAAGGGTTCTCGCTCCAACATCAGTGAGCTGAGATCCCAGCCTGGGAAACCCAGCGGCTCGCGTGTGATTGAATTACCTACTCTGACCTCACCTAAGAGGCTCCAGGGATCCGAGATCTCCGTGACAGGCAATTAACAACCAGACAATACTAATAGATACAAAGAGCCATACCGGAAGATCGCAGAGAAAGGAGCAAAACACTCAAGCAAGGAAAATATTGAATGGGTATATGGGATTTAGGTGAAGCGTGACAGAGACAAATGCTTATAAATGATGCGAGAATTTATAAAACTATTTGGAGAAAAAGGCATCTTTCATATGGTAGAGCTATAATACATAATGCCGTATGTATTATTATAATCTGACTCTAACCATGACTCAATAGCTAGTCTCAGTTTTTATTAAAAAACAGGAAAATTATGTGACTAAATTATACGCAACTGATTGATCCTTGTCTATCTTTAAAATTGATGCTTTAAAGAAAAAACCTTAGACACAAATCACCTTTCTATGAAATGAGAAATAACATTGCATCCTAATAGATTTATATCACTGGACAGTCTATGGTTTGGCCAAGACACCGCTTTAACTATTTAAAACACAATTCCTCTGACAGAGTATAACTCCAGCTTATCCATTTAGATTTGTACATTATCTATCATACATGAAAGTTAAATTTCAAATAACATTTGGAAGGAATAGGATTTTACAATGTTGATATTCTTTTGCTATTTGAAATAATCCTCTAATTACTGAGGCTTGGAGGTTTTGCTCACAACAATAAGGAATATTTAGTTTTCAAATGCATTTGAGAGATAAAAATCCCCAGCAACAAAGCTGATATAATTTTCATCAAGCTACTAGATTGAAGATTTAAAAAAAACCAAACAAAACAACAAACAACCCAAACTGTTCTGAAACATTAAAGAATTTAATTCATCCAGGGTGAAATTTTCCAATACCAAAATTATCTAATCTTTTACTAACATTAGAAGTTAGTTAATGTTTAAAAGCCTACATTTATATTACTAGCAATGTTTCTTCATAGTACACCAACTAAGCTGATGCCATATATAAAAGCTTTCAATATTTTTTCTGCAATTAGCCATACTCACATTCATGAAGAAGAGGTCCTTCAAGCATCAACATTTCACAGTAATGAACTACATAATCAGTGTTTTGTACTTTGTTTCAGAGGGATTTTTTTTTTTTTTTTCCCATTTACAAACACTACCGAGGCCACTGCAGAGCTCAAGTGTTAATCTGGTTTTTAATTATACTGTGATG